AACGTGATTAGAATTTTTTAGTCACACATTGACCGCATCGCTTCCCTGTCAACTATTCATATTCATTGCACTAATGATGTCATTCAAGCCGCCCACTCATTATAGTCCACGAGTATTCCCTATTAAAGAATTTAGTCTTAAGTCCACTGATTATTTGTGACCGATTATAAGTGAATCGTATGCAATCTGCATGCTGTTATGGTATTTATTAATTTCAACATTCAATTACATTTTCATCCGCAAACCAGCGTCGTCATTTTTTGATTGGCTTTTGTGTTCCATTTTGACTTTGACGAACTCATCAACATTCTTCGACATGGCAAATTTTCTTCTAAGTATTCAAAAGCAGAACAGTTTTCCCGCTTTGTGTGAATGCCAGCCAGTTAAGGATTGATGTTTATGTTTGTGTCTCCATGCAATTGAAGTGCCACTTACTAATACCACTGCATCTAGTATTTAGCTTCCCATACACGTACAGGGAAGAGATAAACTCGGGCTTTCTTTTAACAAACAATTTCCATTCTTGATTTTATGTGGTGTGGCATAGAATATTTCACTGGCTACGATTTCCTAGTTACACACCTAAGACATTTGCATGAAGGAAGCAATTTCACACAAACGCCATTGAAGGATTTTGCTGGGAACTGCCATTTTGAAAGAAAAAATACTTTTTCCGGTTTCATCTTAGAATGTGCGTAACACTTGAATGTTGACTTAAACGATCCCACTTGAAAATTTAGGCCAAACCAAGGATTTACGCAAGTTTATATTGCATTTTTTCAGCTCAAACATTGCCTGTAGATATATATACTAATAATATACTGTATATATACTGTAATACTGTATATACTAACAGAACAGAAACTAACTAAGACCCTTTTAACATATGTTCTGATAATAAATTTTCTATTAATAATTCTATACTTACATTTACGAAATATATGTCACAGGTACTAATGGGCGTAGCTTGAAAGGGAGAGCAAGTCCCAAATACCCGTTTTAATACCCGTGTGTAACAAACACAATATTTTTTATAATATTTTGGCCAAGAGTCATTGCCTTATTGGGTCTATTGAAGCTCCTGGTTATACCATTAGTGAAACTGTTATAGACGCAGCACTACTCATTAATCGCGAATCGGAAATAAGAATACTGATTTTGAGTAGAAAATATGGGTTTGTTTTTCAGTAAAATCTTCTAACTACAATACCATTATTCTAACGACTATCCTATTTATCGATCCCATACCGGTTTTCCGGAAGATTTGCAAATCATCCCTCTATGGCACCCATCATCCTGTCACTTATTGAAAATTATTTTCCACGAAAAGATTTTTAAGGTCAGCTAATAGTCAGTGCAAGTTTAATCAACTGAATAGATTAGATGTCGCAAAAATTCTTTCTTTGGTTTTTTGATTGGATGATTTTTTGAACAATGAAAGCACTAAACACTGTATGGTTGTTTTCGGACAATTTTTAGCATTTAGTCAATCCAAAAGGGTTACAAGAATAGCTTCAGTGTATCGATCATTAAAGTTGCTTTTACATCCTAAAACATTGACATTCGATCTATTTTTAATTATCGACTACGATGACTAGTCAATGTAGTTTTATTCTCATATCTGTTATAATTCTTGGTGACTTCAACAGGAAATGTTTGTTCTGGACACTTGTAGCCCTTAACTAAATGACAGTTGTGAGGATTTTGATAACAATGTTGAGCACCGCCGCCAAAAATGGCTCACAACAAAAAGAAAGTCATAATAATTTTTGGAAACTACCTCTATGCTACCGAATATATGTATCTACCGATTTATGTATCTACATATATTCGATTTTGTAAAAAATCAAATAATGTTGTTTGTAATCACAACTTTTGAGGGACTGAACTTGATTCCTGATTCTAGAATGAACTTACTTACTTATTTGCCCAATTACAACCCGTTAGCAATTTTCGGCATAAAGCAGATGGCTTTCGAAGCGTCTCTGCTGCGTACGCGCCTTCGCCAATCTCGTACATCAAATTCGGTTAATGCTTCCTGAACTTGATCACCCCATCGGAGATATGTTTACCTCTATGCTTTCTTTTTAAAGCTTCGAGTGAACTTTCTCTTGAAATTCTCTAAGGATCACATATCCTAAGCAATTGCCTTTAAGGATAATTTTCTGCTATGGCTATTAAGCTATCGTTTCTATATAAAATCTGGGCACAGGAACTGAGGAGATTTTGAGGGGTATTGATTATGATAAGCTCGTTAGTGTATTTCAGGTTATCGAGAACCGAAACTTATTATGAAAAAAAAATAGAGTGACCTTTATACGACTACGTCATCAGTGAATATTTCATATACCCGCGTGAACCAACCTGGATGAAAGGAAAATTTGTTATAAATGCATTCCTAAATCTTATACCGTTTCTAGCAGAATCTCTAAATGGAACAAACTTAAAAATAAAAAGAATTGTTTTTGTATATCTAAATAAAAATGCGGTAGGTCCAAAAAAGTGCTTGTCTTAGCACTTCAGATCAGTGGCATGGCGTCAAAAGTAACACCAAAACAAATAAGAAAAATGATTCATTTATTTTGCTTGGAGCCTACGGAAGTCGTAGAGGAGCTGCTTATGTTGTTCAGTGTGGCAGTAGTAGCTGAAAAAAAGAACTACAAGCTAAAGTTGCTGATAACAAACAACAGATACAACATGTTGCTATTGACGTTGAATGAACTGTTGTTGCACCATAAGCCACTGTTGGCAGGGAAGAGCTGTTCACTGTTGGTACCGTTGGGTATTTGAGATGAATTTAATTTATTGGAACTACTGTACGGTGTGAATTCGACGTCAGCCAGTTGGAAAAATGAAGATACATGCAAATTACAATTTCAAAATAGTTGAGCGGAATGAATTTGAAAATATCCGTATCTAAAAAGTATTTTTTGTGACTAAAAAGTATTTTGAAGCTGTCTTCACTTTCGTTTTATGGTGCAAAAAATTGGCAAAAATATTAGTTCTCTTGAAGGAAATGGTACGGACTTTA